TAAAGTGCTTTAACAATATAAAACTGGGGAATAAATAACCAATATCCAGCTATGGACATTTTTACAGTAATGGATATTTGAAAATAGCAGCAACATCAGTGATGTGCAAAATGACAGCAGCAGGTTATTTAACTGACTAAGGTTTCTATCATTACATTTGATTTTATTTGTTCCTGCTCCCGGTGGTTGGAACTTACGGTAAAACCCGCCGAAGGGTAGACCTGGTCGAATTCACAGCCAAAACTCTTCTGGTCTCCTTATTTTCAAGGACTTCGAAGGATCCAGTCTAGGTAGACCGCGTCCTTGGAGGATGCAGCCCAGGTTTTCGAACAGAGCCAATATTAATGGTCATTCTCACTATGGCGTCTTGCTCTGTTTAGGATTAAACTGGTATATTTAGCTGGCTGGGTAATCAGTCAGGTTAGCGCATCTTGGAAAAATTCCAATTCAACCACCGCAGCAAACAAAACAAAAAAGAAAAAAAAAGAAGAAAAAATCAAGATGTTTTCTCGCAATAATTAAAGTTTTGCTGGTTTCTACAAAAGAAACAAAAACAAAAGCTCCTTATTAAACCCTTTAAGCCTGAATTGATATACATGTCCATATAAAAAGACATTTTGTGTGTGTTTTTCCGCTTGAATGAGATGCTAAATTAAAATAGTTAATGTTACTAAATAAATATAAATGAAGGTAAAGTATATTTTGTAACAGCAGTTATAACTACATAATAACATACACTGTGACTAGCACTGGGGTGATGCAAAAACGCTATGGCGGCTGTTTGCCTACACTGCAAAAATTTTTTTGAAAATTAGTAAAAATGTCTTAAAATAAGCATTTTTACCCTATTATATATATATTATGCAGTTGAAATAACAGACTACGGTTGGTTTTTATTTAAAATTTTAAATGTACATTGTCTTGTTGGAAATCCCCAGCAGTAGCGGCCTCAGTCCGGCTAGCCTATTGGTCGTTTTCCGCTACGTTTGTGGAGGCTGGTATTAAATACTAGCGGTTTTCGGGGATGTGGTCCAAACTTCAAGCACTGTAATGCTAGAGATGTTTTGACATTTTAAATTCATTTGGCATTAAAAAGCTGTTGGTGGAGTTATAATGGTTCTCACTTTTCTTTGTACATAAATTAAATATGCTCCTTGCCTTTTATGAACAAATTCCTGTTCATATTTGATGGCTTGATGCTGACAGCTCTGTATGAGCAGTGCTGTGTCCATTTCCCTGCCGGCTCCCAGATCCGCTTCTCTGATTGGTCAATGTGGTGCATCGAGCCGCAAACTTCAGATTTTCCAATTCCAGCATTTGCTGCTTGTGAAGAACTGGAACTCTCTCTAGTTCCCCTGTAGGAATAGGCTTCTTTGTATTCACAAACTGCTTGCTGAATCCTAGCTGGTTGTGAGGCTCCACCTCTTGTGCTTCGGGGTCTGACTCAGGGTCAAAGGTTATACCATTTTCATTTTTGTGGCCATTTTGAAATTATAAAATTCCAACTCTCTGTTTCTTGATAGCATAGAAATTAAAAAGTAGCCTACCAGTAGCCTAAAGCAACAAGTTGGGGAGGGGTTGTTGTGCACCAGTCAATGCTAGATACAGCTAGAGAAAGCTTTGGTTGCTGCTATCTCCTTAAAGGTTTCACACAGAGAAGAAGCAATAGAAAAGTTTAATTATTTTAAAAGACTTAAAATCTCAAATGGGAGCCTGTTCCTTCTTTTTAGGCACAGTTTCCTTATGGCAACAATTAATGTTATTCAAAGTTGCAATTAATAACAGCTTTTTCTGACACACAATGCTTTTGTCATTTTATGCAGCTATTATTTCCTCTTTATTTAACACATAATACTTTTGCTGTCATCAAATTATGTCTATGAAATAAGTCATCAGCACTGAAGAAAAAACATAACACCTCTGCCTGAAAGCTGCCTCTAGGTAAAAGCCCTGCAAGCCAAACTGACCTATTCAGATCCTCATCGGAAAGCTATAATGAGACAAGGCATCTTACTGAGCCCCACAAAGATTGTGATGATTTGTAGACATATACGGTGCTTTAGCCCGCTGCTCATAGTTTAAAAAGGACTTATCTCGTTTGCTGTCAATAAACGAGCGTTTATGCAGAGGTCATGAAATCATGTTATCAAATTTTGTTCTCAATTAGCTGTGACCTTTATACAGGCAAACACACACGCTCCAAACTAAGGGAACTCTTCCAGAACATCCAGTCCTGTTCAACGCACAGCACAGTAAATAGCTGCCAGCATCAGTTAGCTCGCCAATTTTACATGACCTCACATTATTAGCAACCTGAAACTCTGGATGGAGATGTTGGAGGGACCGGGTTGGATAGATGGATTAAATCTGGCCACAAGTGGAAGCAGAGAGCTGGATATTGTAAAGTGATAAATCCACACGAGGGCAATGAAGGCACTGTACTTTTAAGAGCCCATTTGTTGGAGTTAAATGGTGATTCTCAGCTCTGGGTGAAGATGCACAGTGATAAGTGGGGTCCATATTTAGTCTCCCGTAACGAAATTTGGCCAGCTTTTTAGCCGCACTTACAGCCATTAGTCTGTTTGCAAAGTAACTAGCAACTGAAACATGTGTGCAAGAATATACTGTAGTTTCCCAATGGAAATATATTTTCGGCAAAGGAACATTTGCAGCCTTATTCAAATTTGAGTATCTAATAGACTAAATTAGGTTTACAAACCCTTTTACCTCTTGCTCACTTGAATGACTTATAAGATGGTTAGCTGGGTTATGTTGTGTGATTCTTGTTGAAAGAGCTGCTAATGTTTGGTTTTGGATACTCTGATGTGTGATCATAATAGATATCCCCTAGTTGATACATCTTAGATCCATAACGAGGGGTACTCTACTGTACCGTTTCTCCTTGAGTCTGTCTAGCTCTCCAATTAGGAGCAAGCTTTGGTGGGTCTGTGTATGTGTGTCTGTGCATGTGTGTGTATGTTTCACCCAATGTAAAATCTAATTAGTGATCACACTGTGTCTGTCTGGATTTCACTGAATCAGAGGTGTAATTGCACAAGCCCGCGTGTAAATGTCTCTTGCATTAAAATGTTAACGATATCATTTAGCATCTGCGGGGAAGAGCGGCAAAGCCCTCGGCAGCCAGATGTAGGTGTTTGATCATGCGTGCAAAGTGAGGTTGTAGTACATCTGGTGCGGGTTTCCCTCTCTGACAGGGTTCCTCAGCAGAAAGGATGTTTTTAATTCACTCAGCACCTGTCAAAGTGACATGTTGTATTATTGTGCTGAGCTGCACAGGTACTGTTGTGGAGGGATCCGGTAAAAAGCATCTTCTGACAGGTAGGAGCAGTCCAGATCAAGGAAGATGTACTGCTTCTCTGTAGTGATGAAATGCTTTTATATATTTTTTTCAATAATTCTACAACCCCATGAAAAAAAAAAACACTAAAATAAAAAAATCTATACTTAAGCATAAAAGGGACAACACAATAATTGCAAACAACATAACATTAATAAACAAGGAATCGAAAAAGAACAGAATTAAAAAGAAATTAAATTGCTTAGGAAGTAGCAACAAAATTATAAATTGCACTTAAGACTATGGGCCACACCCACATTAATCATTTAAATTATCCAGAAATCTGATGATTTCAATGTGTCACCAAAGGGGTTCCAGCTGCAAGATGGAAAACCTGTAAAATGTGACCGGGCTTACTAGGTTTAGTTCAATACCAAATTTTGCAGCAACATGCTAGCTAACAGGACTTGTAAACTGCTTTACAGAGAGATAAAATATGAACAATTTGTATAAGAATTTGGCTGTAACAGACAGGACTGCTTTTAATGCCTGCCAGCCATATTGGAGTTTTAGTTGCGTGTTAGCAGAGGGATATCTGATTTCAGCTTATTGTTAAAACCTATTGACATGCACCTAAATGCAACACCTATATGTGGAGTTGTTTGAACTTTTGCAATTGAGATTGTCATACAAGTGAAGTCCCAAGGTTTCCTTTGCACCTCAGATTTTCTTAGTTCCCTCATCTTTTTAATCCTGCTGGGTTTTGTTTAATCCCCATTCTTATTCCATTGGCTCATGCTGCTTTGAAAAGCTCTGGTGCAAGTTGCCTCTTTGCCAATTTTAACCTCCATTTTGTACGTATAATACACATCGGTATTTCCTACCTCCCTTTTTTTATTTTGTACCAGTAAACAAACCATTTTTTGCATGTATTTACACCATTACATGTTTGTTTTGTTTTTTTATTATTATTTAAGGTTAGCTATTTTTCTGAATAATAAAAAATACTGATTTCTAATGTGGATTTTTGTCATTTCCTGAAGAATTTTTTGCCATTTGTTTTTTCTTTTGTTGTTATTTACAGTAAAAAAAAAGGTGTTATTTTAAACATACAGATCTAAATATTACTCAGATTCAGATAACACTATATCTAACTCTATATCTAGTGTCAGATTTTCCAAGTTAATTTTACCAATATTAGTGTCAAATTTAAGAAGACCTCCCAGAGACTAATCAACACCATATAGAGTAAAAGTTGCACTGCATGGTGGTCCAATTTTACACTTATTATTAACTCCAACCCTTAAGCAGATTTACGCTCAGCATAGATGTAAATACGCCATTTAGAGTTAAAAATGTTCACTGAATTGTTATAACCCATTTTTTTTTACTGATACCCCTGGTAAAAAAAAAATGTGCTTTATTGTATTTCAAGTATATTCATATTTCCTATAGTTTACTGAAAATGTACTTAGACAAATTGTACTTTTTGTAAATATATAAAAAGTATACTAACATTACGCTTTCATGCTAATACTTTTAACACACTTTAACATAATTACACTATGTTACACTTTATAGAAATATATTATTAAAAAAGTATACTTTAAGTGAAAGTTATGTGTAATTTCTAAAGTGTACTTATTTTAAATTTGTTTTTACATATATTTTTGCTATATTTTAAATTGTATGCTCAAAGTTGTCATTGTAACGTACATTGAAAGCATATTTTAAAAGTACACATTTTAATATCGACACTGTAATATTAAGTTTGAGTGCATTTTAAGTTACATTTGAATCTAATTATGAAGTGAAGTTATATACGCTTGTACTTCAGGTAATTCTTTTGGAAAGTGTTCAATAGTATAACTACAAAAATGCACTTAAACCCTATTATGCAATTTTGTGCTGTGTGTAAAGTACACAGATAGCAATTATTGCAGTTGTTATGTAATGTTTAATAAGTTTTGAAAAAGAAATATGATACAATACATCTTACACACAAAACCACATTGAACAAAACACTAAATGTTCACTTCAAAAGTACAGGTGCACAAAAATGTGTGTTCTGCTGAAAAGCAAGTGGTTTAAAGCTGGTGCAGTGCTACATTATGATCTAACAAATAGCATAACCCACATTGCAACAGAAAAGTTAATACTGGCCAAATGCAAAAGAAATAAACTTAACACATTACAATTGTCTCAAGTGTTCAAAAAAGAACATTTCATTAGTATTGTTTAATGGATCAAAGCAGGGCTACTGCAAACAAGACCAATTGGTGAGTGCACATATTTAAAAGTCGCTGACAGCACTTCATGCATATAGGAGTGATATGTGGAGGTTGTTTGGCCTTGATGTCTGTAAAGTAGTAGCTCCCCAAGAATTTTAGTCTTGGGGAGTTTTTGGTTCAGTACTGATATCAGAATTCCCATAGACTTTGAATGCACCACACCTGCACAGCAGTTAGTCACGGCTCCTCCCTGCTCAGAGCTAGCGTGCTTTTCTTTTAAGGCCTTGGTCTGCATGGAGAGAGGTAACTTTCAAAACATTCCCATTTGGTTTTGAAATCTTAAGATATCTGTATAAAACGCGATTTTGATTATTATATTTGTATTGTAGAAACAGGAGATGTAATCGGTTGAGCAGGAAGATTTGCTGTATTATTGTGTTGAAGAATATCCTGGTGAGTTCACATGAACCTGTGAATGAAATATATATATTTTTTGAGATGTAAAACCAGTCAGGATATAATGTTTTGTAATATATGTAATTTTACTAGCTCTTTTGATTTATTGAATGCATTAGCACAGTGAGAAGGAGGCTAACACACCCCCCATGTGCTCTTCTAAAAAAGAAAATGCACTTTCAAGCTAGCTACATCTTGTGTGATGTTGCTGTAAAACCCCCACAAGGGGTTAACGTAAAATTAACCCTTCATAGGTGTCCTGGATTGTTTTTTCCAGATACAAGTATTGACTACTGACCATAATGATTTCTTAGACAGTGAACCACATGTAAATTGATAATTTTACTTTATATTTTTGTCTGTATAAATGTGGTAAAAACCAATTTATATTATGGTGATTACATGATTTATTTTCCAATTGAAGTAATTGCTCTGCACATTTGTGTGCAGGCTGTTTTTTTTTTTTACATAGTTGCAGAATCTGCTGTTACAGCTGAGCAGTTCATTGTATGGACTGGACTAGACTCCACCAGAGATGTTGATGCAGAATGTTCCCAATGTGAATGCCATCCGGTTCCCTGGAGGGTGGTAGGAAAAACAAGGAAACTTAAGGATTTTTCTTCCCTTTCTTTCTGCGGATTCATAATTTTTTTCTTTTCTGAGATCTCTGACAATTTTTGTTGTTACTTTGTTTAATTTTTTTGATCAGATCTGATAAAACCACTTGATGCATCAGATTTATTTAAATTCAACTGAAATGGACAATTTTTTTTTCTGGTGCACTTATGGACCCTGGTATATCATACTGATACAATTTGTCAGACTTTTCTGATGTACTGCTCAAAAATACTATGAATTTACAGTATCTCTCTGTTTGGTTAACAGACGCTGTTCTTCTGGAGTTTCCGTAGACAAGTGTCTCTGATGTGCGCACGGCCATCAGACGAAAATGTAACAATGAGCAGTTCAGCCAAAAAAAGGAAAATAATGTGTGGTGGGCGTGTTTTTGTATGGTGGGAGGGTTTAGGGGTGCAATAATAAGGAATGTTGTTTTTCATTGTTCAGTATTCCTCTGCGTTCTTTAAAGTTTATTTGTAATGTTTAGGTCTGCTGCCTGAAATTGACATATTTCTACAAAGTGTACTAAAGTACCAATATTTGAAAATGTGTTGTAAGTTTTATAATGAAAATGGTTAACGTCGATATGTAAATGTTTATACATTCTGAGATAGTACAAGTTATATTATTTGTAATGTACTATAATTTGGACATGTTTCAAATACATTAAAGTATATTTTTTCATCTGCACGGAAGTATATCCACAAGTCTTTCAGCATTTAGTATACTGTTAATACATTTGCAAGAATGTGCAAGGTAGAAAGTAGTATAGCAATGTAATGATAAAGTATATTTACTATTAACTGCAAAGTATGCTTTTTTAGTAATTGGAATAAGCCAACAGTATAATTAAGCATATTATTACCACAGTAAGAGTATATTAAAAGTATAAAGCTTATATATTTTTAAGACACTAACAAATCATTTTTAATGTAGTTATAATACAACCATAGTGCACTTTAATTTGACTAATTAAGCATATATTAGTACATATAAACTCATATACTTAAAGTATACAAAATATACTTTAAGTTGTTCCACTTTAGCACATCAAAGTACACTAAATACACTTCAAGTTGAGCTTGTCCACAATTTAATTACAATTAAAATATATTTAGTACAAAATTAGTTGTTCCAAAATAGCATCCTTCAAGTTAACTAATCATAAACACACTTAAAGTATAGTAATGATTAGTGTGCCTTCAAGTACACAAAAGTATGCAAAATTTTAGTACACTTAGCACATTTATTTTTCAGCAGGGACTGGCACAAAATATGACAGCTTATGACCTCAAATCAGTCTGTAACTGCCTTTTCCCTGCTAGAGACATTTGGTTGTTTCACCACTTTCTTACAGTATGAGAATATTACATACAGTACTATCAATCTTCCGTTGTCAAAGCATGACATGTTTTTGACAGTGGCATTGCATCAGAGCATTTGCAAGGCTCACAGAGACTTACTTTCCTCATTGAAACCTTTTCAGGGTTATGGTCAGTGGCAACACTGATTAAAATAGTCCAAATCAGTTCCTGAAAGTACTTTTATTAATATGTACTTATAAAAAACAAATTTTTTTCTCAATCCATTTTATTTGCTTATTTATCTTTTTTTGGATTATACCTGCCTATATCCTTATAACACCTTGAAGTCCCTAATTAAAGACTTATTAGTTGTTTTTTAATTGATTTTTTAATCATCAAAGTACTAATACTTTTTGTGGGAGAAAAGTTTTGATTCAGTTAACAAATATGTTCACTTTGTTGCTTACTTTCTTTTTTTTATGAAGTAATAATAAAATTATATGTTTGTAAAAGTATCTACTGAGAAAGCTAACATTGAGTAAAATAACAGTAACAGCTGCACTACCTTCAAAAAACCCCCCAAAACCCTACATAGTACTAAAATATCGCAGTGCCAAGAAATTAAGTTAAACGTCTTGAACCTCTGTTGATCCTTTAAATATGTTTATATTCATCTATAACACAGTTACTTTGATGTATGTAAATGTATTAAGCAGAAGAAGAAAAGAAATGCTTTGAACCCCAGATTAATACTTTACTTACGTATTGTTAGACATGTTGTGTTTAGGTGTTTTATGACACAAGAGCTTGGATGTAAATAAAAAGAAAAATCTGTGATTCCTTTTCATTACATACAACATAACCCCCTGCTATTTTTATTTGTTTATTTATTTTTATCCTTATAGGTTATAAGTAGCATGTAGTTATAACAGTCAATATGTGGACATACTCTAAGGGGTTCAAAAATAGGCAATAAAATGTATATTAAAAAATTATTTGGTAAAAAAATGGCTCATGCACTTTAAGACAGACTTCGCTTTAATCATTGATCTCACTTCATTTTAATATTTGAAAAAAATTTATCAGCTTGTTTTAGTATTCACATAAATGTTTATTCTTCTGTTGTTTTGTGGGAGATATTCTGCTGCTACTGTGGCTCATTTGAGCTTTTGCTCATTGTGGAGATATTGGGTGGAGATATTTTGATTTTCCTATCTATCACCCATCCAGACAAACATCCACGCACGCTGCACCTCATAAATACTGCCTCTTAATCCAGTCCACCACATAGCAGAACAGGGCTTTGAACTCAGCGGCCTACAGGCAAAATTGATCCCCACCACTCAGGCTTGAGTGTGATGCACAACACCAGCCCTGCAAACCGGGTATCTCCAACAGTGAGCCTTTCTACTCACCACAGATACAGACAAGAAAAAACCCCAAACTCCTTGCACAGTGCATGCTTTCATGCATTTCCGCTTTTGTCATCTTATTATTCAGGGCTACATTTTCTGTGGACATTTCACCATCACATCTGCTCACCTTCCAGATATTAAAGTAGGCTAAGAGATAATGGAAGAGGCAAAACTGGATAGACAGTGTGACAGAAAGACAAATGGGTCCAGCTTGGTTTCTCGACACTGCTCTTTATTTTTAAACCTGGCACAGATGCTAAGATTTAATACCAAGTTGGTGATAGTTATTTTTAGCCCACCATTTTTAAAGTGCTCTCATCTTGTTGGTAAGGTGTGAGGGTGTGTGGATTATTCTGTGTGTGCATGTATAGAAGAAATGTAAATTAAATGCTTTCCTTGTATATATGTAGGTATTTATGTGAATCTCCAAACACCTTTTGTATGATATATTGTGAGGTGAGTATTTCTATGTATGTGCTGCTCTAAATACAAGCCTTTAATTTGGAAGCTGGGAGGGTGGGTTAGGGTGTGACATCAGTTGGAGCCACAGGAGTCTGATTTATGCCCTTCCAGCCACCCATCGATCCCTCAGCTCCGTGTGAGACTGAGTGCATTGTCAATAATCTTAGCACTTTGTGGTATTCCTAGATTCCCAGACCTCCTCTGCTCAGCTCAAGGTGCGATGCTGCAGTAAGCCATCTTGCAAGATCAAATAAAAGGGCATGGGGCTCGGCTTCAGTACGTTTGATTGCTGGGTAATCTAGCAGTGAAAAGATCACTTTGCAGTTGCTGTGGTGTTGACACAAATAGAGAACTGGTGTTATTGTTTGTGCAAAAGAAGGTAATTTGGAAAAGGCCCTGCAGGGGTCCCTTGAAGCATGTAGCAGTGATGCACATTGTCTGAGTTGCTAAGTGTTGACAGGACACTTGGCAACACGTAGATGAGGTCTTTCATGGGTCTCTTTATCTGGACCATCCATTCCCAAAAGTGATTATGCTAATAAGTGTTTGATCAGATGATTAAATTGAAACTCAATTTATCTAAAGCACTAAATGCCCTGAATACATTTGAGCCTGATTCATTGCCAGGCTTCATATGGCATTAGTCCCTCGGTGGCCTAGTCACAGAAAAGATGACCAGAAATGAGAGAGAAGAAACTGTACATAAATATCTTTTTATTCATGCAGCGCCACGTAAAGAAGATGGGGTTTATTTAAAGCCTTCTGCAGGGACTGAGGGAGAAAGGAGCAGAGAGAGAAAGGAGGAAAAGGAGAAAATAAGTCCGCCTTATGCTGGGGATGGTGAGGGGGAGCTACAAGGAGCCGTGCTGTGGTCCCTTAAGTGTTGAATAAACATGCTTGGTTTAGCGAAATTGCAGCGATAAATGTTTAATATGATAAGCCCATAAAGACGGTCAAATGAGTCTGGAGTATTAAAATGAGCGCAGCGCACAGCAGCAGTTTACAGAAGCAAAGAGCAAGGTGAGGGGGCAGGGACCAATAATGGCAGGAAGAACTAACAAGATGAGAGAAGCCAGCTGCTGTGACATCAACATTAACCAGCTGCTTGTTGTGCACGTCTCCTGGACGAATCAGGGAGCGGTGCTGGATTGTCAAAGGGCCACGGCAGCCCTGTTATTCTACTATTATCTGAGGGACATTTGCAGTTAAGGCTGCATGGTTATTATGGATTTCTAAAAAAGATTTCTACAAGTGTAGCAAAAATTGCAAAATGGTACCAGCAATGAACTGATGGAAATTAAGGCTAGAATTGATACAGCTTACCAAAAACTTTAGAATTGCTTTTTTATTTGATCCTTTGAGACTAAAACATTTGATGAGTATAAATACACTGCAAAAAGTCAATAAGTCAATAAGTCACATTTTTCTCAATATAAGAGCATTTTTTCTTCAATTATGGAGGTAAGTGAGAAACTTGCCAATGGATTGAGACAATTTACATTTAAAATAAGAAAAAAATTATTATATTGTCTTATTTCAAGTGCATATTATTTAATTATCTTATTTTAAGAGTAAAAATACTCATTCCATTGTCAAATCCTTTTATTTACCTACTTAAATTAAGAGAAGATACACTTGATTTAAGACATTTTTACTCATTTTTAGATTTTTTGCAGTGTATGTATTAATTTATATATATATTTCAAGAGTATAAATAACTAGCTGTTCACTTTGACAACAAACTAGATTGGAGACACAACCGTGAAGCCATCAACAAGAAGGGACAGAGCAGACTGGAATTCCTTAGGAAGCTTAGGTCCTTCTGTGTTTGCAGCAAGATGCTAACTTACTGAGCAAAAGTTGGTTAAAAAGACAATGAAAAGACAACAAGTTTTACATCCTAGCAGATTCCATTTCACCTCAGTAATCTGTTTTCTCAGCGTATTTCAGGTTGCTACTAGTTACCAGACACTCAACTTGTTTGTTGGTGGTGGGGCTTAAAGAAAAGGCATTAGCGTCACCCAGTGTATGAGCGTCTTTTTTCCTTGAGGAGCTCCGCTCTCGAAGCCTATGAGAAATGCATACACTGGGGGAAAATAGCTCGCCTTCCCGCAGGCTGCAGCGGGATGTACTTGGAAAATTGTACCATAAAACCACATAGCGTTAATCTCACGTTAAAA